AACATGTCCCAGCAACAGTGGAAGTAATATCTCAGGCTTGGTGGTCAGTGGGAGTACAAATTTACATAGGGCCTTTAGTCGGTAGGAGGTGGAATAGTGCCCTATTATTGGTATATATGGGAGGAATAGTACCCTATTACTGGTATCAGTGAGAGGAATAGTGCCTCATCATTGGCATCAGTGGAAGGAATAGTGCCTCATCATTGGCATCAGTGGGAGGAATAGTGCCCCATCATTGATATCAGTGAGAGGAACAGTGCCCCATCATTGGTATCAGTGGTAGGAATAGTGCCCCATCATTGATATCAGTGGGAGGAACAGTGCCCCATCATTGATATCAGTAGGAGGAACAGTGCCCCATCATTGGTATCAGTGGGAGGAATAGTGTCCCATCATTGGTATCAGTGGGAGGAACAGTGCCCCATAATTGATATCAGTGGGAGGAACAGTGCCCCATCATTGATATCAGTGGTAGGAATAGTGTTCCATCATTGATATCAGTGGTAGAAATAGTGTCCCATCATTGATATCAGTTGGAGGAATAGTGTCCCATCATTGATATCCGTGGGAGGAATAGTGCCCCATCATTGATATCCGTTGGAGGAATAATGCCCCATCATTGATATCGGTGGGAGGAATAGTGTCCCAGCATTGATATCCGTGAGAGGAACAGTGCCCCATCATTGGTATCAGTGGGAGGAATAGTGCTCCATCATTGGTATCAGTGGGAGGAACAGTGCTCCATCATTGGTATCAATGGTAGGAATATTGTCCCATCATTGATATCAGTGGGAGGAACAGTGCTCCATCATTGGTATCAATGGTAGGAATAGTGCCCCATCACTGATATCAGTGGGAGGAACAGTGCCCCATCATTGATATCAGTAGGAGGAACAGTGCCCCATCATTGGTATCAGTGGGAGGAATAGTGTCCCATCATTGGTATCAGTGGGAGGAACAGTGCCCCATAATTGGTATCAGTGGGAGGAATACTGTCCCATCATTGATATCAGTGGTAGGAATAGTGTTCCATCATTGATATCAGTGGTAGGAATAGTGTCCCATCATTGATATCAGTGGGAGGAATAGTGCTCCATCATTGGTATCAGTGGGAGGAATAGTGTCCCATCATTGATATCCGTTGGAGGAATAATGCCCCATCATTGATATCGGTGGGAGGAATAGTGTCCCATCATTGATATCCGTGGGAGGAATAGTGTCCCATCATTGGCATCGGTGGGAGGAATAGTGCCTCATCATTGGTATCAGTGGGAGGAATAGTGTCCCATCATTGGCATCGGTGGGAGGAATAGTGTCCCATCATTGGCATCGGTGGGAGGAATAGTGTCCCATCATTGTCATCGGTGGGAGGAATAGTGTCCCATCATTGGTATCAGTGGGAGGAATAGTGTTCCATCATTGATATCAGTGGTAGGAATAGTGTTCCATCATTGATATCAGTGGTAGGAATAGTGTTCCATCATTGATATCAGTGCTAGGAATAGTGTCCCATCATTGATATCAGTGGGAGGAATAGTGCTCCATCATTGGTATCAGTGGGAGGAATAGTGTCCCATCATTGATATCCGTTGGAGGAATAATGCCCCATCATTGATATCGGTGGGAGGAATAGTGTCCCATCATTGATATCCGTGGGAGGAATAGTGTCCCCATCATTGGCATCGGTGGGAGGAATAGTGCCTCATCATTGGTATCAGTGGGAGGAATAGTGTCCCATCATTGGCATCGGTGGGAGGAATAGTGTCCCATCATTGGCATCGGTGGGAGGAATAGTGTCCCATCATTGGCATCGGTGGGAGGAATAGTGTCCCATCATTGGTATCAGTGGGAGGAATAGTACCCTATCTCTGGTTTCAGTGAGAGTAATAGTGCCCCATCATTGGTATTAGTGGGAGGAATAGTGTCCCATCATTGATATCAGTGGGAGGAATAGTGCCCCATCATTGATATCCATTGGAGGAATAATGCCCCATCATTGATATCGGTGGGAGGAATAGTGTCCCATCATTGATATCAGTTGGAGGAATAGTGTCCCATCATTGATATCAGTGGAAGGAATAGTGTTCCATCATTGATATCCGTTGGAGGAATAGTGTCCCATCATTGATATCAGTGGGAGGAATAGTGCCCCATCATTGATATCCGTTGGAGGAATAATGCCCCATCATTGATATCGGTGGGAGGAATACTGTCCCATCATTGATATCCGTGGGAGGAATAGTGTCCCATCATTGGTGTCAGTGGGAGGGATAGTGTCCCATCATTGGCATCGATGGGAGGAATAGTGTCCCATCATTGGCATCAGTGGGAGGAATAGTGCCCATCATTGGTATCAGTGGGAGGAATAGTACCCCATCTCTGGTTTCAGTGAGAGTAATCGTGCCCCATCGTTGGTATTAGTGGGAGGAATAGTACCCATCATTTGTATAGGTGGGTGGAATAGTGCCCCCTCACTGGTATCAGTGAGAGGAATAGTGCCCCGTCAATGGGAGTAATAGTGTCCCAAAGGCCAGATAAAGGCAAGAAAAGAGCGACATCTGACCCTCGGGCTGCAATATGCAGACCACTGCACTACACAATCAAGAGACAAGTAGAGACTTGTTGAGTCATGTAATTTTAATTCATGCATCAGAGTTTCAGCTTTTTCATTGTTCCGACATCAAATATTGGACAAAGACATCTGCCTAGCAATCAAGACAAATAACAGTAGCCGCACGTCTGTTGGCTTCCAATACAATGAGGCATCCTGTGTTATTTCAGGTACTTAGTGTTATTTCCCTCAATGTGGATACCTTTGGAGTGGTATTAGATGTAATACATTAAGTCCCATAATATAACTGGAGGTTCTAGTCATGCAACTATTCCTGAATGTGGTCTCAGATGATAATAGTGCTCCAGGCTTACCATGAGAGTAATGGATTTCAGCTGGCTATGAGGCAAACAATGCCTGTTGGGTCTCAAACTGAGCGATCTGGTCACTCCTAACTATTACTTTAAAAAAAAAAAAATTGTAGCCATATTTAGAGGCTGTAATTGAAGTTCAGGAAATAGGGTGTACAGAAAATCAAAGTCACAGAGAATTCTTTTGGTGCATATTCAACAGGAATTGTCTTGCAATAAAAAACATTAAATTGGTTGTAAACCCTTACCTATACCCAGTGAAGTAACTGGCCTCTGGCGATACACAGAAGTGAAACAAATTCTCCTACATAAGCCAGGAAACCTAGGTGGACCAGGAAGAGTCACGTTAGGAGGGGAGGGAATGGGATTTGGAAATGGATTTAGAGTCTTCAATTTCTTCTCCAAGAGAGGATCTTATGAAGTGGAGAAGCTTTCAAATAAAGGTGAGACATGGGCATATTGGATCCATGGATTCCATACAGCGAGAAATGCAAGCTTTTTATTAACCTCTTGTCTACCAAGGTACATTTATAAACAGCATACAAAGGGTTAACAGATGCTCAGTACCAAAGTTGAGCTTGATACCAGCTGTAACAGCCAGGGAAAGGCTTTCAGATAAAAGTGATGGCTCTAGAGCTGTACCATCACTTTTATGGGGAATTGAAAGTATGCCACCCCTGCCAGAGGTTAATAGAATCCAAATAGCCTGGCAGTACTAAGGTCATTGGTTTTAATCCCAACCATGATACCACCTGCCTGGAGTTTGCATGTTTTCCCTGTGCCTGAGTGGGTTTCATCCGGGCACTCCAGTTTCCTCCCACACTCAAAAGACATGCTGGTAGGTTTATTGGCTGCTGTCTAAATTGGTCCTAGTATGTGTATGTATGAATGGGAATAAGGGACCTTAGATTGTAAGCTCCTTGAGGGTTAGGGACTGATGTGAATGAAGCCCCATAAAGCCAACCTGACAGGTCCGCCTCCCCCCCAAAAAAACACAGTTTACTATGCTTCAGTTATGAATGAACATATAGTGGGTGATTGGTACAGCTCACTCTGCATCCTGAAGGATCCTATAGTGTGCTTTCAGCTGTCGGTGATGAGGAGAGGAGGGAAGCTAGCAGAACTGAAAGAGTGGGGATGCACATGGGGGCTGGGCAGCAGGGGGAAATGTATGGTGGGGGGAAATTACTGGAACTGATCCCCTGTATGGCTCTCTCTGCAGCAGCTGAAAACTCATGGGAAGGAGAGGGGAAGAAGCCAGTTTTAAGTTGCTGCAAAGGGAGCCATACAGGGGAACAATTCCAAAAATTGCCCTCCCCAGCTGTGCCGATCACCCTCCTTGCCCACATCCAATTCACTCAGCTGTCTGGGCTCCATACAGGAGGACTGGTAGCATCCCCTTACCCAAAGCCCTGCTCTGTACCACCTGTTGTATATGACTTGTTTTTGGTTTTTGTATTGAAAAAATTTACGAAAAAACCTTGTCAATAAATAGCATCTGATTAAAAAAATAAATAAATATCAATTGCACAAAACGGGAAGTATCAATGTGAACGTCCGAGTGAGAGCAATAATTCTAGGGTCAGAATTCATTGTTAGTCTAATAATCTGAAGCGCTGCCTTTGTGAAAAGTTTGGGTACTATAGTCCTTTTTCACAGGCATGCACAATTTAAGGCTTGACATTTTTGGTATCTATTTACTTGACACAACTCAATCTTTTATATGTTTACCTATAAATGTGGTATAATATTGTGTTTGCACTAGATTTCATTTAACTGCATTTATTCATGAAAATATGCGTTTGTTATTTATCTGGACAAATATTTTGCGACAATTAAAAAAAATTTAACTACCACCATTTTATTCTCAGTTCCAGTCACTCATTGTGTTCATTCGGGAAAGAAAGGGGCTAGTAAATGTGATGTATTTACTAGACAAATCTCCCACTCTCCATCCAGAAGGATCCTGTTGTGTGTTTGCAGTTGCCAGTGGGAAGGAGAGGAGGTAAGCTGGCAGCACTGTGGGAGTGGGGGCGCACAGGGGGGGTCTGGGCAACAGGGGGAAACATATGGTGCACAGCAGGGGCGGACTAACAACGCATGGGGCCCCCGGGCAATTGGGGATCATGGGGCCCCCTGTGTCCTTGCCCAAACTCAAAAAAGCCTATGAAAAAGGTACCAGGGGCATCTCATGGGGCCCCCTACTGACCCCGGGCCCTCGGGCAGTGCCCGAGTTTCCAAATGGTCAGTCCGCCCCAGGTGCACAGGGAAGCTGATAGGTGCAAACATGATCCCCCTGTATGGCTCTCTCTGCAGAAGCTGAAAGCTAGCGGGAGGAATAGTAGAAGAAGCCAACTTTCAGATGCTGCAGAGAGAACCATGCAGGAAATCGGTTCTAGTAATTGTCCACCCGCCATGCCCATCACCCTCCCTACTCACATATGATTCACCCAGCTGCCTGGGCCCCCCTGCTGGCCTGGGCCTCATACATGAAGACTGGTGGTACCCCTTATCCATGGCTCTGATCACACTGCACATGTGGTTCCTGTGCAGGCTGCAATTCCAAAAATGGTGCAGGGACATTTTTCCTGCTTTTCAGAAGGCATGGCAGCCCATTCAAATGAATGGACTGTCATACCTGCACAAAACGTGGCTTGCAAAGCTGCATCAATGTGAACCTGCACTCCAGGGATGATCTATTTCCAGTTTGGCCCAATGTATGTATGCATATTTGATACCAGATGGACCTCTATAGAAGGTCCATGTTACTAAACTGATGGCTGCAGTCTTTACTGGTTCTGTACTGAGCTTCTTCCCTTCTGCCTAGTAACCACAATGCTTTGCTCGCTCAGTATGGCTGCCCCTATGGAGAAAGCCTTGCATATTTCTCAATGAATGCAAAGCAATCGCTGATTAGACAAGGTGGAGACTGTGTTGTCACTGCCCCTCCTCTTCACCTCTCCCAATCAGAGAACTCTGCGATCATTGAGAAACACTCAAGGCATTCTCTGACTTGGAGAATGCCTTGGAGACTTGATTTTTCACTTCTGCTATTTGGTAACACTTACAGATCTTGTCCCTCCCCCAGCCTGTAATCGTACTGTGAAATTAGAAATAGTAAACTGATGAGCTTGTATCTCTGTCGCTATGCTCTCTCCTCCTATCAGCATGTTCCTTGGTAGCACATGAGTACTGCAGCACAACCGATTGGCTTCTTGTGTTGCTTCTCGATCTCCCAGTCTGAATTCTGCTGTGGGGTAGATTTAAAAATTCTAATACCAAGTCAAATTCAGCTACTTATCATTAATTTAGTCACATTAGTTACAGTATGTGTTTTATATTTGTCTGGAGTTCAATTTGAACCCCTACTAAGGTATGTTTATAAAAGTCCTTGTATTGAAGGGGTTAAAACAAGCTCGCAAATGTATGCTGCAGCCATGAGCTGGGTGTTGGTTTTTACAGCTGAGACTCAGCTTTCAGGCTGGTTATTCTTTAGGAAGATAGTGTTTTATATATCTTATAGGACAGAAAGCTACTATCTGTTGTTGCTGAGTGATTTACATTCTGATCCCGGGGATCAACTTCTACATTTTTATGTTTTTTGTTTTTTTTTTGCTACAGTAGAAGTTCCTGATTGTAGGATAAATCCCTTGGGTTTGGGATGAGGTAATTGTTAGATGAATTTGACACGATGATCTGAGAGTCGATATAGGAAGATAGGTAGCATTTGAGCATTATTCTGCAGACAGGAAAAACAGCCAGTGATAAAAAAAAAAGTTAATTGAAAATATAAAGTGAAAGTACAGAAGTAATCTAATACACAAAAACAAACAAGAAGAACATTTAATGAAATTAACTACTCTAAATACATTAAGAGTTTAATTTTTCACCTAAGAAGTACAGAGAGTGAAATCAAGAGTTTCCACATCTGGATAATGTGCTGTTTGGGAATTCAAGTGCACAGAACCCTCAAACCTACTGAACGCCTTTTCAAGTCTTCTCATCCAACAATGGGACCTTACCTCAACCCTACTGAACACGCCTGAGATCAGGTACTCTCATCCAAAATCAGGAGATGACTTCAACTCTACTGAACACTTGTGGGATCAGGTCTTTTCACCCAACGTCAGGACCTGACCTCATTTCTACCGAACCCCTTTGGGATCAGGTCTTCTCAACCAACATCTGGACCCGACCTCAACTCTACTGAACACCTTTGGGATCAGGTCTTCTCATCCAACATCAGGACCTGACCTCATTACTACTGAACCCCTTTGGGATCACTTCTTTTCATCCAACATCAGGACCTGACCTCATTACTACTGAACCCTTTTGGGATCACTTCTTTTCATCCAACATCAGGACTTGACCTCAACCCTACTGAAAATCTTTGGGATCAGGTCTTCTCATCCAACATCAGGACTTGAACTCAACCCTACTGAACAACTTTGGGATCAGGTCTTCTCATCCAACATCAGGACCTGACCTCATTCCTACTGAACCCCTTTGGGATCACTTTTTCTCATCCAACATCAGTACCTGATCTCAACCCAACTGAACATCTTTGGGATCAGGTCTTCTCATTCGACAGCGGGACCTGACCTCAACCCTACTGAATACTTTTGGGATCAGTTGGAATGCTGATAGTGATCCAAGTCTTCTCATCCAACCTCAATATTTGACCTCACAATTGGAAAGAGCAGTGAGCTGCAGCAGGACAACACTGGATTCATTGGGCAGGCGAGTATGTCAATTGAGGACAACCTGCAAAACAGGTAAGAGGTTAAAAAAATGCAAAGGGAAGGGCTGAAGTTCATCTACATTTTTGACTAATGCTTATTTTGAGATAATATACAGTATGTGATGATGTGCATCAGACTATAAAAGACCTCCTGGGTCTAACAAGGATGTTACTAACGGTTATGTTGTGCATTACCACATACTGCCTTAAGGCACCCCAGGGTAGATTGTACTAGACCCTTTTTTTGCAATACACAATAATGTACAGCAATGCATAATAGAGCATTGGGGTGTGTGTTGGCACCCTACAATGTAGGTGTATTACCTTAGTGCATTGGAGTGCTATTCACAATGAATGGCACTGCAATGCACTAATATCACATGGTGTGATTAACAGAACAGGAAGATGTAAACCTGGCCTTATCTTCCACAACAGTTTCTTCCCAGCAACCTCCAAATATTTATGAGGGGAGGGGGTGGCATTGGAATAAACACCTTCTATATTTACCATATTGAGATCAATATATTTTATTCTGTAGATATTATACAGGGAAACTTATAATATTTGAGCAAAATAAAACTAAAATTCCATTTTTTTTATTAGTACAAATAGCCATATGGCAAACAAAAGTGGAAGAGGGACTTAAAAATTTCAACGTGTCAATCAATTAAATAAACAAGGACAATATGTTTCACAATGTGTTTTAACTGCTGCAGTATATTCATAATTAACTTTATTTTAATGTAAGTTAGTTATTGATTTAAAACTTAAAAAGTCCATGCACAGAGTTGCGCATTTTTACAGTTGCGGGAAGGAAACAACTATTGTGGAATTTGCAACTGACCACTCTACAGGGCAATTAAGGAGCGTTCTTCCCACTGACCACCAATGTAAGGAGCATTCTTCCCACTGACCACCAATGTAAGGAGCATTCTTCCCACAGACCTTCAATGTAAGGAGCATTCTTCCCACTGACCACCAATGTAAGGGTCATTCTTCCCACTGACCACCAATATAAGGGGCATTCTTCCCACTGACCCGCCAATGTAAATGGCATTCTTCCCACTGACTGTCAATGTAAAGTGCCTTCTTTTTCACTGACCACCAATGTAATGGACATTCTTCCCACTGACCACCAATGTAAAGGGCATTCTTCCCACTGACAACCAATGTATAGGGCATTCTTCCCACTGACCACCAATGTAAAGGGCATTCTTCCCACTGACCGCCAATGTAAATGGCATTCTTCCCTCTGACTGCCAATGTAAAGTGCCTTCTTTTCACTGACCACCAGTGTAATGGACATTCTTCCCACTGACCACCAATGTAAAGGGCATTCTTCCCACTGACCACCAATGTAAAGGGCATTCTTCCCACTGACCGCCAATGTAAATGGCTTTCTTCCCTCTGATTGCCAATGTAAAGTGCCTTCTTTTCACTGACCACCAGTGTAAGGGACATTCTTCCCCACTGACCACCAATGTAATGAGCATTCTTCTTACTGACCACCAATGTAAGGAGCATTGTTCTTACTGACTACCAATGTAATGGCATTCTTCCCACTTATCAGTAAAGGAGCATTCTTTCCACCAACCACCAGTGCAAGAGACATTCTTTCCACTGACCATCAAAGTAAGGGGCATTCTTCCACACTGGCCACCAATGTAAAGGACATTCTTCCCAAAGACCCCCCAAAGTAAGGGCCATTCTTCCTATTGACCACCAATATAAGGATTATTCTTCCCACTGACCACCAGTGTAAGGGACATTTCCCCCCTTTGAACCTCAATGAATTAAATGAAAAACAAATGCAAAAATACCTAGTTAGCTGATTAGCAGTAAAGCTGATGTTAATGTATGGATGTTACAGCGTAGCTTGGACCAATGAAAGTATGCATATTCCATACCTGTGGAATGTAGGCTCTAAAGAGCACATCTTCCAAAGGGGTCAGTGTTTGCATTGGAGCTCCTCAAGGAGTAATTTTGGACCTAGTTCTTTTTAAATTTTATTTTTTGATCCAGAGGCTTAAATAGAACAAAATTTTTCTATTTTGTAACAAAACCAAAATTAGGCAGGATTATTAAAGCTCAGCAGCATTGTAAAAAAAAATAATTTTATATATATATAATATATATATTGATATATATATATTTATAAAAATACGTGGGCCACTAAATGATGAGCGATGTTAACAAATAAAAACGTTATGAACCTACACTGCACTAATGTCATACTCCTCTGTATACTAAATGGAATACAGCTAGGGAAAACAGACATGAAGGATGATATGGAAAACAGTTTAACGGGCATTTCCATGTTTGCAGCCAATTTGGGATAACACCTAATTTAAATTTGTTACATTCTCCCCTTCACGCAGCATAACTTTGCTGTTTACATTGTACTTTTTTCCGAAAACTCCAAAACTGAAGTTGTCTCCTGGCATGTATTGTTTTAAAAGGATGGTTGGACAGTTATGATTACAATAATTAACCCTTTATGTACTGTGCTGCCAGATCCT